CCCACATTTCAGAGATGTAAATTCATTTCAATGAATAATTTCCACCAAAACTCACAAGCTAAGCATTTGAAATTCATTATATTTCAAGTGACCAGTCCAAACAAACTCGATGGATATAAATTTAAAATCGCTCCATAAAAATGCAACCACAAATGTTTTGCTTAAATCAGAAAGATAGTTTTTGGGCTTAATCCCACTTTGCACCCTTGAAATAGAGTATGTTGGCACTTTGTACCTTCAAAAAATAATAATAGCACTTTGCACCCTCAAAACACAATAAATTATTCACAATGCACACCGAATTGAATAATAAAGGCAATTTCAGTTTTTATTGGTATTTTTTTCCGGAATACAAAATAACAAATAAAATTGTTATTTTCTTCAACCTCCAACCTAATTTCGAGCGCACAAAATGCGAAAAAATAAAAATCACATTCGCTTATTATTTAAAACAATTATATTTTCTTACAAAATAAAATAAAATAAACTTATATCACTGTATTATTCGATTAATGGATCTTTTATTGCAACAATGCAAATATTAGGTAAAAATAGTTGGAATAAATATTATTTTCAGATAACTTGATAACAAAATGGGTGAATGATTTTTTTCGTAAAATATTTTTTTGTGATATCAAATATAATTTTTAAATATGTTGGTGAGATGTATTTTAATTTATTCTTGCACTTTATAATTTCAAAATAATTGATCAATAAAAAAAAAGATTTGACATTTGTTCTCCTAAAAAAATTACCATTAAAAATATTAAATTACATTTATTATGTTTAAAAATCATTTAGGATGCATTATGCATTATTTATTATATTGTGTTTCGAGGGTGCAAAAGACTATTAATTTGTTTCGAATGTGTAAAGTGTCAAAATAGTATATTTGAAAATTGCAGCAAAGTGGGATTAAACCTAGTTTTTGGTTAAATCTGAATGACATTAACAATTTCCACTCTAAAATTGTGATTAGCTGCACTCGAATGTATTCTAATTTTGCAAGAAATAATTGAAGACACCATTCTGCAATCTGACGGCCGATTGTCAAAGTTGACATGTCTTCAAAATGAAAAGAAAAAAATTAATTGTGAAAGTTGACCCGCAGACAGGCCTTTCGCTCGTCTAAAAATATCTGCATAGGATATTTCTATAATAAGAAGTCAACTCCGGTTCAGTTGTCGCCGGTTTTGGCGAAATCAATAGTTGCAATTGGGTCCTATTAATTTGTCTTCATATCTGATTCTAATTATCCGCCAACAAACACTTATTTACACATTGAAAAACATGGAATTATCTTTAAATAATCATGTTACCTTTAAATTATCTTTATCTCAATAGTATATTACATATACCACAAGACAAAAACCATTAAAATTGGAAATGTGCATGCATATACGGTGTTGTCCTCTGTTTTTATAAGGTTTTGCAAAATGATTGTAATATATATAACTTTTACTACACGTCCAAATTCATCAAATACTAAAATTCTGATGATCAAGTAGATATGACATTGTACTTATTTGTTATTAAAAAACTTTCGAATTCATTAAATTAGTTTTAATACAAGCTCGAGAAAACTTCAAATGGATGAATGTAAGTTCAATTTTTCATTTGTCACCAAAGTGTTTTGGCCAATTAAAGTTACTTGTATAAGATAAATGTCAATAAATATGTCAAATAACAAAATTATTAAATAAGTCTTTATTCAGGTTTTAGTCATAGCAAGTTCAAACTCTGATCCGCTCATAAATATTTCAAAATTATTTAATAGAATAACTCAAACTTGGTTCTGCTCACAAATAGTTGAGTTCAGCTTAAATATAATTGGGCCGAACCAATACTAAATTCGTAGTAAAAAAATATTTTTCTACTGGTGATTTTTACAAAAGGATTATCTATCTGGGTGGTAAGTGGTAACCATAATTTACCAATACATGATATTAACTATATTTACTTAGGAAAATCAATATTGATCAATTTATTTTTGTTTTTGGCATGGCATGACATGTACTCTCTATACTAGTTTCGACGCCAGCTCATCATAGAATGAGTCAACTCGTGGCAGTCAAAGTCAACCCCTCACCACTCTCTTTCCATGATCTGATCACCAATTATATTACTTCTTCATACATATATGTAAAAGGTCAACTCCATGTCTGCCAATTAACTAATCTTAATTGTTTAATTTTATAAATTGGAAGAATATATTTTAAAACTACCCTATGTATTAATATAATATTTGAGATTTGATTTGTCTTGTACAAACAATATATTTTTCCCCACTTGTTTGTGTCATGTAGGCAAATCCAACATGATCTCTCTCTAAACTGCTAAAATTAAAGTTAGAAAAATGACACCCACTCTCTCTATTTTATATATTTTTTTGTTTATGTATTAAAAGGCTCGATCAGTTTATTGAAGTTATATTAGCTGGAATTAGGGTTGACGCATTCAAGTCAACTAGCTATATTATTAGATAGTGTTATATATATGATACAATTTTTTCCCCTCAGCAATATCATTGTAAATTTGAAAGTGTTAATTACACATTGCACCCTAATGTATGACTCTTGTAACAGATGTCCTTTGAAGTATCGATTGTAACACATGCCCCTCAATTCATAAACAAATGTTAAAATTCTGATATTGCTAAAGAATGGTGTGCAATGATTATAATATCCTTGATGACATGGCTATAATTTGCCTCCTCCAAATATCATTTATAACATTTACACCATTCAACTATTATTTGTAATAAGTTGCGCCTGAAACATTTGTTTTTAACCTTAGAGAAAAATTTTATTGGATTTGAGTAATTAAAAAATAACTCAAATAATTTATCAATAATATTAACTGAAAAATCAATACACCTCACATTGAAATAGAACGATGCTTTAATTTCCACTAATCCGGCTACAATATTTTATAATTTAAAATTTTACATTTCTTTGGTAAAATAATTAATAAAACAATATAATTGTTATTGGATCATATAAAATATTTGGACAAAATTTTGAAAAATAATATATATTATATGACTGTGAATGAGAAGATATATTAAGAATATGAATTAAAAAATGTATATAAATCATTAAGACCATTGTTAATTTTATTTTGATTTCTTCATTTATTAGAAATAAATGCGTAGACATTCTAAGAAATTATTGATTTTTAAATCAAAGAATAATTAGTTAGAAATATATTTGGAATTAGTTAGGTTTTGAAAACGTCTTCACAGTAATAATTATTATATATATATATACAATATATAATTCACAGATTTATTAACATTTTTGTAATAATTTATCTTTATTTATTTTGAAGTTTTATTTGGTCAAACTTTATATATATATATATATATATTATTTTAAAATATTTCATTTTCTCTTAGATATTTTTAATAATATAATTGATTTTTTTCCAAATATTATACTCAATATATGTGAATTTTTTTGAGGATATTTTGGTCCAGAATATTCAACAACTATGTAGAGAAGATTTTTAGTGCCATGTTACCATTTTTTTAAATGGTTTCCTGACTTTTAAGGGATGGAGGGGTGCATGTATTACAATTGGTACTTTTGGGGGTATGTGTTACAGGTGCCATACTTTGATGGTGCAATATGTAATTAATCCATTTTGAAATAGTGATTTAAATACCTATTATTTAATTAATATAGTAAGGCCCGATTTGGTTGGCAAGATTATCCAAGATTAACTAAATAATAAGATTTAATTTGATGTTTGATTAGTCCTATTATTTTCCGTGTACACCCATCAAATAATTTTGAAATAGTGATTGAACTACGGATTAATTAATTAATATAGTAAGACTCGACGTGGTTGACAATATTAGTCAAGATTAACTAAATGGTAAGATTTATTTTCCGGATCGACCCATTACAATAATTTTGTCATGGTGTATCTTAGTTAGTTGGCAGATAACTAATTGGACCTTGAGAGGTGCAATAAAATTATTGTACTATAAGTCATGTTTGGTTTCCAAAATAAAATTAGCCAAGATAAATTAAATAATCTAATGAAACCCAATTATATTATTGAACCTTGGAAGATCCAATAAAAAACATGCCTAAAAAGCTAAATAATGCATGATAATATAATATTTGCGGGTCGACACGGCAAGTTATTAGGGATACCAAACATCAAATAAAATCCCACTATTTAGTTAATCATGGTTAATCTCCCCAAGCAAACAAGGTAGGGCTAACAAAATTGTCATTCTAATTTTCATCTATTTATCAAAATGACATATTCAATTATTAAAAAAAAAAATTAATATTGAATAAAAATAAATCATTCGAAAAAAAATAAAAAATAAAAAATAAATAAAAAATAATATATATTATATTTTTCCAGAATTTTTTTTTCGAAAAATAAAATTTTTTCGATATAAAAAAGGTTTTCTAAAAAACTTCAAGAAATAATAAAAAATATTGTTTAAAAAAAAAACAAATCGAAAAATATATATTTTTTTTGAAAAAAAACAAGAAAAAATAGAAATATAATATTTTTTCCGAAAAAAATAAAAAAATATACTTTTTTTTTCGAATTTGATTTTTTCGAAAAATAAAATAAATATTGGAAAAACAGAAAAAAAATTGAAATGTTTTTGAAAAAATCGACAAATAATAAATAAAAAAAATGAAAAACAAATCGAAAATAAATTTCTTTTCTAGAAAAAATAAAAAAAAAACTTTTTTTTTTTTTGAAAAAAAAGAACATCGGAAAAACTGGCGAAGACAAAAAATTCGGAAAAAAAAATTGTTGTTTCCGAAAAAAATGAAAAATAACAAAATATGAATATTAAAATGAAGAAGAAAAAAGCTATGTACAATAAGAAAGGGTGATTAAGTCATTTTCATGTAACTTGGTTGAAGTTAAAGAAATCAAACATGAAACTATTAAAGAATGGGGAGATAAAAAATGTAAAACTTAATAACAAACCTCTTATGAAATATAAGGAGAATTATCTTATGTTGGCTAATTTTATCATGGAAATCAAAAGAGCCATAATAGAATAACTACAATAAGATGAATTTGAATCATATATACAATAATTAGTTGGGTGTTGACAAATATATTAAAAAAGAATAAGAATAAGAATATGGTCTCCAAATTATAACCAGCTTGCATGTTGTTGATAAGAAGCTATATGTATCCCTCTCATTGTTCAGCACACACGCAAACACACACACATACAAAGTGTCAAAGACAGCTAGCACAAGTATCGGCAAATATAATTAAGCTGGAGATCGATATATACATATACTCATGAGTAAATAATTAGCTGAGAGAGAGAAGAAAAAGAAAATGGGTAGAATAGAGGAGGTAGAGGGCGGAGCAAGTAGTCATCACCATAATAATAATAATAATAATAATAATAATGAAGACGAAGAAGAAGATCTTTACGCGCCACCTCCTCCGACGATCATTACTAATGAAAAGTCAAAGCTGCCACCAACTGGAAAACCAGCTGAAGCCTTTCCTCCTCCGGTTGAGCAATTTCCACCTGTTCACCATGACGACGATGAGGATCATCATCATAGTCATTTTTCATCTTCAGCTCCTCAACCATTTCCACCTCTTCATCACCATGATGATGATGATGTTCATCAATTTTCACCCCCACACCAATTCCCTCCGCCCCCTGAAATTTTTGATATTAATAATAATTATCATCATCATCAACCGGAAAGTGTGGATCCCTTTTATTCAGAACATCAGCCGCCGCCACCCTTTCCTGTTGTTCAACCTGTTCCTGGAGGAGTGACCATGCCAGCTCGGCCCGGATTTGGAACATCGCCTGCTCCTCCAGTATTTACACCTCCGATACCCGACCACGAATGGAAGACTCATCTCTTCGGTTGCATGACCGATCCCCCAACCGGTAACATTATTATTATTATTATTATTATTATTATTATTATTATTATTATTATTC